GGGTGGAGGGTGGGGGTCACTCTGAAAATTAAACTCGTTGATCTGCTGAGCGAGATGGAGGACGCTGACACCACCTTCCTCCACCTTTTACACCTCATTCCACCTCAGCAGCAGATCGACGGCTCAGTTGACCAGAAAGGCTCAACTGAGAAAAAACAAACATGCAACTGAACCCAGCACACACTGCTGCAGCCTGATGAGTGTGTGTGTGTGTGTGTGTGTGTGTGTGTGTGTGTGTGTGGGGTGCAACAGTCATCTTGTTCTGATCCGGTCAGAACTAAAACACCACAGTACTTCACACCCAGAGCCCTGTTTCATACAGCAGGATAAGTGGAAATCCTGGGTAAGTTCTGGGGTAACTATGAGCAGATCCTGGGTTTTACKGTTTCAGAAAACCAGATAGCAGTTATCCTGAGTTAACTCACCCCCACAGCTTCCTCTGTGAGCCAACCCTGCTCTGCAGCAGGATTACTGAACATATCCTGAGTTAGTCTGACCTTCTACCTTTTGATCATGAGGGAAGTGTCAGGCAGGGGGCGTGTCCTTTTCTAAAGGAGCATGTAGATGTTGCAGCGTAATAATCCACAGAAATTTATGTCGGGAGAGAGTGATAAGACCACGATTAGACGTCTTGTAATTTCTGGATGAAAATCTGAGAGTTTATAGATGTTTTTAATTTCTCAGGTTTCAATCTTTTCCTTCAAGTACAGCTTGTAGCTGTTTCACAGGAAGATTTAGGGACAGAAAAATGTTAATATTTAAGTTACATTTCTCACTCTTATGACGTTATGATCAAAGGTTTAAATTGTTACAGAGGTATATATTCTTATTTTTTGTATTGTGTGTATATATAATGTATTTTGTTGTTTTAAAACGAATAAACTTCTGAAAAATTATATAAAAAAATTATATATAATTTTTATGTAACAGAAAAAAGTTGAACTCCAGAGGTAAATGGAGCCTTTTCAGCTGATCGTCCATCACAGCTCTTTTTGTGAAACATTAAGTCGTTCTGATTCATAGCCTTGTCCTTGCCTTCCTACTCAGTTCCGTTCAATTCTAGTTTCCCGTCACTGCTTGTATGAAGCAAAGGACAAGGGGTTGGTTTTGACCAGGCTCGATTGACAATGAGAAGTCAAATAAACTTTAAACCTACATGGTTATGGAACACCTCATGCACCTGGGTCTGCTCCCCGTCTGTAGCAGACAAACTTTCTTCATCATCATCATCCTCAGATGAAACACAAAACTGAGTTTACTGCAGTCTATTAAATGGAGGTCAGACTTAATCACCTATAAGCACTAAGTGTACTGTATTAAATATTGGCAGAGAAAAAATGGGGTAATCGACTATTAAAATAGCCGATAACTAATTTAATAGTCGATTGGTCATTTTTCTTTGTCTTTTTTTCTTTATTTTTCTCTCCAAACTGCATTGACACCTTCCACTGCCACRTCTGCCTTTCTGTCCTTGACACACATGCACAGTAGTGGTAACTGGGGTAGGCCGTGGACGTCACAAGACATTATACAGACAGGCTCTGGTATCATGGCTACCTGACAACAGAGCTCAAAGTGTGGGATCATTTTAAGAAAATGAAAGAGAAACCTGTGTAATATCTGCAGAGCAGAACTTACCTTCCACTGCAGTTAGTTTTAGTTAGCATATAGCTAAAATCTAACCATGGTTATATAATAGCAGCTGCATTCTGACGTGATAAGCTGTATGTTTTATATTCAGTATGATCTGATTAGTCGACTAATAGAAAAAAATAATTGGTGATTAGTCGATTATAAAAATAATTGTTTGTGGCAGCCCTAGGTAGCACACATTGTATCTTTTATTTTATTTATTTTTGGAGGGGGAAACATTAATTTCATGTGTTGAAATTAGTTGAATTATGTAATTTATTTGTTAAAGTTTGAACATAAGAGCTTATACCTGACCTTACCTGGTTTCACTGTTTTATATTTAATCTTTATTTGCTGCCATGTCTGTTTGGTACAAGCTGGGTTCACCTACACACATACTTAATGCACGCATGCATGCACACACACACACACACACACACACACACTCTTATCCACTTGAATAATTGTGAAGAATAAAAGTTTAGATTTCTGTGAAATCACACATTGACTCAATCAGCAATTATCTGCAGCACAACTCCTTTTCTCTGCAGCAGCAACAGTATTGTGGTTTATTTTGTTTTATTTTTTTAAACACTAACGTTGATATTCTCAACATGCAATCATTAATATTTCTAGTTCCAGCGCAGAGAAATGGACTTCCGGTCTTCTTATTTTCTCCTGTTGCCATGATGAATCAAGTTATCTGACTTCCATTGATGAGGGCTTCCTGCTCCAACTTAAATCAAGGATAACTTGACTCAGAATTAAGTTACCCAGTTCATATCAGCTGTTCTGAAACCAAAAACCCCGAGTATGACAGAGTGGGGTAAGTTGACTCAGAGTATCTGTGTTAAACCAGGGTTTGTTAAGCTGCTGTATGAAACGGGGCCCTGGTGTGTTGTCAGCTTCTTCTGATGTCCAAACAAACAAACAAACAAACATGATAAAACATTTCTCACCATTTCAAACAATCAGATATAGGAAAAAATATAAAATAAATATATAAATAAGATTTTAAAAATGAAAAGATCCAATAAACTGGTTGCATAAGTGATCACACCCTAAACTAATAACTGATTTGTCCTGATGCATCTCAGTAAACCAGGTAGAAAAAATCAAAAAGAAAAAATAAGTAGGTCCTCTGGACGGGTTCTTCTTTAATGAAACGTTTCGTCTCTCATCCAAGAGACTTCTTCAGTCTGAGAGTTTCAGGTGAAACGCAGCTTTATAAGCACTGCCTCCACATGGACAAACAGGTTAGTCACATGCAAAAGAGGGCCATCACCTAACAATAGGCTTGATTAGCTCCGTTGTTCATAGAGGGTCATGTGCCCCATCACCTGACCCGTTACGTTCATGTAGTGAATGCAAGCGGGGGTTCAACGTCCCCCTGTTTTTGTCCCTCTTTGTGTTGGTGTCATTGGGGCCCTGATTCACACCGTTTGCTCACAGGGGACTGAGCAGCAGGAGGAGAGGAGAGCGGAAAAAAGTTCATAACTTATTTCTAGCGGCAGAACAGGTTAAAAGATGGCTGTTTGATGTTATTTATTGTTTTTTAAATCATCCTAMAGGCTCTGACATGTTAGATAAATTTGAAAATGAGGTTTTAAAAAAATCTGTGAGATTGCTCTATACGTCCGTATACCTGCAAAATGATGTAAAATCCTTATAACTTACGGACAATCTGTACAAGTTGTATCAAATAAGTATGGCTACTTATTTGATACAACTCACCTTCAATTCTAATAGTAAGAAATTTACATATATGTGAATATTTGACTACCTGGTAACATAGTAATGTAAGGACTCCTATGAAAATCAATAATAATTTACTACAATAAATGATCATTATTAATAATAAGTGATCAGAACTGTGTGCAGCAACAGATGACCCAGAGTTCTCAGTTTCAATCTTTTGTTGGAGCTCTTCAGTGTGACTCTAGGTGTATCTGAGAGCATGGATGGTTGTTTGTCTCTTTGTCTGTGTCCCTGAGGGACAGAAGACATGTCAAGGTGTCCCCTGCCTTCAGACAAAGACTGGGACAGGCTCCAGCCCCCACCCCGACCCTGGTTAGGAACAAAGAAGACAGAAAGGACAGCACAGACAGTTGCTTCAGTGTCTATAATACAGCTCTGTATTATAACGTGTCTTTGGGGGTTTCTTGAACTCGGCTGAGCAGAAGAAATACTTTCACAGCCTGACAGACTTGGAGCATTTCACCAACAAGCAGTGAACAAGTATTAGATCAAGGTGTGGCTGAATACAACGTAATTCACACTAATTATTAGTTAGGTCTGTGTATATTTATGCAACCAGCATATAGCAACTTTTTTTTATTGTTTACATTTTTCCTTGCAACAGATTGTTGACTGAGCTTCTTTATTGTGTGCCACTAATAAAATGTAATGATTTATTATGATCTAATTGTTTGTACATCAATAAAACCTGGGCTTTTTATATCACATGTTTGCAGCAGGTTCAGAAAGGTTTTCTTCATGTGTGTGTATGTGACTAACGTGAAGCAGGATTCAGTCCAGTCTGACTCACACTCATCTCTTCAGTGGGATTCTTTTGTTGTTTAGTTTCAGAAACACCGAGCTGATTGTAACTTGTAGACTCTTCTGGTCAGAAACACGAGGGAGCAGAATGGAGGCAGACATGCTCTGTGATTGGCTGAGAGGGCAGCGATGAGAAGCGGTGACAGCTGATGCAACAAGCCATCTGCTGATGGAACAGAGTTGATGTGGTGCTGGTAGTGTGTGTGTGTGTGTGTGTGTGTGTGTGTGTGTGATGCGCAGCGACACAGTGCTTTCACTTTGTGTGTTTGGTGCAGTCATTGCAGCTGAGCACATTACCTTCATTTTACTAAGGAGGGTCCTTAAAGCCCTTTTCAGATCGGGGGTCTTCTCCGATGGTGAGACCGCCTGCCACTGCAGAGGAGAGTTCAGACTCAGCGCCCAGCCCACAGACAACATGCTGGGGTGGGGACAGGCGGGGAGCAGCAGGGTTAGGATGGGGTGCAATGAAACAGAGCGTCCAGGCTTATGAGGATGGGGAGCCACAGGGAAAACTGCAGGCAGTTAGGGGGCAAGTGGTGGGGGGGCGCTGCCCAAAACTGTAAACTCTACAGCTGCATTCCAGCCACGTCATCTGATCTGCATGATGACATTTAAGCAACGTCATGGACAGAGCTCCTACTGCTGGAGTCTAGTTTGAGCTCCTGTGTAGAACTGATCCAAAGTGGGCAACATGGGAGAACCTGCACTGGGTGGGGGGAGGGGGTCGCAGGGAAAACTAACCAGGTGGAGAGGTGGGAGAGGGTGAGAAAACCCCACACAGGTGGCAGAATGGTTGTGATCACTGAGAAGAGAGTTTCTTATTTATTTATTTTTATAAATAGGGAACAAGGTGATGGTGATCCATCAGAACGTGATGTTTTCACACATCTGGGAGCTTCTTGACTCACTTTTATAGCTGAGTGGAAGAAAATAACCAAGACTTTCACTTAAACTAAATTCATCCAAAGCTGATGCAGTTCACACGGATTAGGAAAAAAAGTAAATCTGGCTTCTTTTAGTGCTTAGGTTTTAAACATCTCACCTTTAAAAGATTATAAAATTTTTCAATGTAGATACAGTACGTGCTTGAAAACATTTACAGCAAACGATTTTGCAGCTGGGAGCCACAAACATTTTCCCCTACTCATCTTTTTTTAACTGTTTTTTCCAGTAGTTTTGCATTTGAATAAGGTCAGTGTCACTACTGTTAGCATGAGGCGATACCTAAACCCAGATCAATTTGTGCCTTTGCTGTGTCTCCCAGAACAGTTCCTCTAGAAGAGCTGGACAAGTTAGATCTGAGGTTCTTTACACATCAGCAGGACTACTGTCTGCTTCTTGGTGCAGAGAAGAACAGGAGAAGTAATGCTAGAGCCCTAAAAAGTGACGTCCAACAATCCACTGGTCTCTGACCAAACCATTAGAAGCCTTTATGAGGCGGTCCTGACGGCCCAGCATGCTCTCGTGGAGCTCGACTGGCATTTGCCAGAGAACAACAAGCTTGTTAGATTCAGCACTGGTGCCCTGTGCTCTTCATGGATAAAAGCAGGTTCACACTGAGCTCATGTGACAGACGTGACAGAGTCTGGAGACGACGTAGAGAGTGAAATTAAGCAATATTGGAAAGAAGAGKAGGCCGAAATTATTCCACAACCATGAGAAAGACTGATGAAAAACATTTACTGGGAGTTTCTGCTACAGGGCTACTTAAAGGGCCACAGACTTTTRAATTATGAGGTGAAATTCATTTTTCACACACAGCTTTTAAATGTTGGTTTCAGTTTGTTTAAAAATAACATGATGAAATCTGTTGTGGGTTCTGTACACCTGAGGTTGCAACGGAAAAGGTTTTAGAACCTGCTTTTAATTATGTTGTCCTGACAAGTAAAACTCTAGAATTGACAGAGTGGGCTTTCTTTTTTTCACGATGAACTTCAYCCAATACTACTTTTTAAGGAGAAGAAAAAAGTAAATACCAAAATGATATCTAAGTCGTCTCTTCTTGAATTGTGCATGAATTAGATGTTTGGAGTGGGCCGCACATGGAGATGTATGTTCAGTTTCTCTGTGTGTGTTTACTGACCTCTCTGTCAAACTGTGAGAGTGGAGCGTCACCACAGTCCATTCCTCCTCCTGAGGACAGAGAGCTCTCTGAGGGGGAAGTCATGGTCTGACGTTTGGATCCGTAGCTTCCTCCTGACAGGTCTCTGCGCAGAGCGCTGCCGTTCTGAGAGGAGGAGCCTGAAAGAAGAAACGAGGAACGGACTGAGTCAAGAAGGGACAGCGGAGACACAGCTGACTGACAGACCAGATTTGATAGACTGCTGTCACTCACGTATGCCCAACCCGCTGCTGGCACTCATGGAGCGACCCGGCTCAGCCCGGTTCTTGGTGATGGAAGGGATGCTGACTGAACCACTAAATCCTGCACGACTCTCCTGAACACGAACATTCTGGTTTAAACAGAGGGGGGACAGGAGTAAGGCGGGTGTGAACGTGAACGTGCTCAAACACATCAACACAACGCAGCAGATCAGGTGAGGTTTAGTTTGAGAATCTAGACAAGGCTGCAAATCTACAAACACTTTATCAGTGAATGTTGGGGCCCAACACATGCTTTAGTTTTGAGAGGGGTCAGTGTGTGTGTGTGTGTGTGTGTGTGTGTTGGAGTATATACATACCATGGGCAGGTCTTTGAGGATCTGGATGCCATCTCCTGGTCCCATGTGAGCCACGTGGTTGAAGTTGGTGGGGTTAGAGATCAGCTTGTTCCTCATCTCTGGATCTCGCAGCATCTCTCTGGGACCACAAACAGACAAACACATGAAAGCTTCAGCATCAACAGAACAATATTTTAACATTTTAAACAACCTGTTAAAGATCTCAAATGCCAGCTTTTTGTGACCTTGAATAATGTTTCTACTGTGAAGAAGATCTGAAAACTCAAGATATATTTTTACATATCCTTTACTTAAAGGTGAAATGAAGGCTACTTTAGTTGGTGAAATAACTGAATAATTGATAGTATATGTTATATGTAGTATGAATATTAATAAAATGTCTAAATATTGTTTTAAATTTGACCAAAACGTAATTTTCTACAAATTGTGAGAAAAAAACATACTTTTGCATCCCATTCAGAGCTCCAGCAGGGGGCGCAGTTTGTGTGACGTAATATTTGTTGATCTACTCTCGCTCCCCGTAGGATTACATTTAGAACAGCTTTTGTTTTTAAGACTTTTACATTATTTTGTGGACTTGAAATGGAATATTGTGTGGCCTTTGGATTCACATGTGGTGCAGGGTCAGCTGCCAGCTTTTTATTTTTATTTTTTTAAAGACCCTGAGGGCAGAAGGTTTGTGTTGATGCGATGTGGAGGAAAGACTTTAAAACCATGAATCCTAGCCCCCCAGCTCTGYTCAGACCATTTAAAGACTCAAAAAGCATGGTTACAAGACTTTGCCTTTTCAGTGCTTCACAGTTTGAGTACAGTCATGTCCAAAAGTTTTGAGAATGACACAAATATTATATTTTCACATGATCTGCTGCCCTCTGGTTTTCATGTGTGTATGTCAGATGTTTTCATCACATACAGAAATACAATTGAAATCATATTATGAGTAACAAAAGCTTTTATTAACAGTTAGAATGAGTTAATGCAGCAAGTCAATATTTGCAGTGTTGACCCCTCTTCTTCAGGACCTCTGCAGTTCTCCCTGGCATGCTCTCAATCAACTTCTGGACCAAATCCTGACTGATAGCAGTCCATTCTTGCACAATCAATGCTTGCATTTTGTCAGAATTCCTAGGTTTGTGTTTGTCCACCTATCTCTTGATTGACCACAAGTTTTCAATGGGATTAAGATCTGGGGAGTTTCCAGGCCATGGACCCAAAATCTTTGTTTTGTTCCCTGAGCCAGTTAGTTATCACCTTCGCTTTATGACAAGGTGCTCCATCATGCTGGAAAAGGCATTGTTCATCACCAAACTGCTCTTGGGCGGTTGGGAGAAGTTGCTCTCGGAGGACATTCTGGTACCATTCTTTACTCATGGCTGTGTTTTTAGGCAAAACTGTGAGAGAGCCGACTCCCTTGGCTGAGAAGAAACCCAACACATGAATGGTTTCAGGATGCTTTACAGTTGGCATGAGACAAGACTGGTGGTAGCTCTCACCTCGTCTTCTCCGAACAAGCTGTTTTCCAGATGTCCCAAACAATCGGAAAGAGGATTCATCAGAGAAAATGACTTTACCCCAGTCCTCAGCAGTCCACTCCCTGTACCTTTTGCAGAATATCAGTCTGTCCCTGATGTTTTTCCTGGAGAGAAGTGGCCTCTTTGCTGCCCTCCTTGAGACCAGGCCTTGMTMCAAGAGTCTCCGCCTCACAGTGCGTGCAGATGCACTCACACCTGCCTGCTGCCATTCCTGAGCAAGCTCTGCACTGCTGGTGGCCCGATTCCACAACTGAAACACTTTTAAGAGACGGTCCTGGCGCTTGCTGGTCTTTCTTGGGCATCCTGGAGCCTTTTTGGCAACCATGGAACTTCTCTCCTTGAAGTTCATTTTCTAGGCAAATATTGACTTTGCAATTATTTGCTGTTAAGCTGATCACTCTTTATAACATTCTGGAGTTTATGCAAATTGCCATTATAAAAACTGAAGCAGTAGACTTTGTAAAAATTAACATTTCAATCATTCTCAAAACTTTTGGCCATGACTGTAGATCCTTTCATTTTGTGACCAAAAGGCTCGATCTGAAGGAGGATGCCAACAATATTATAAACAACACAGCCATGTGAGGACACGCTCTGCTGCGGTCATAACAGGAACTTTTTTAGCAGCCGCAGGAGCCAAAAGTCTGCAACAAAGTGGTGAGTTGCTTTTTATTAAGAGTTTTATATTAATTATGAGCATAATCTGATCTGTCTCGTTCATTGCTCAGAGAGCTACACTGAGTACCTCGAAGCGAGGCTACAGGAGAGCCGACGGCTAGCAGGCTAACAAGCTAGCTTCTCTTCGTGTGAAACAGCTCCGGGTAAAATAGTGCTCCAAGCTGTGCTTCTTTCTGTACGATATTTAGCTGAAATGATCCATTCCCAGTTAAATTAAAAACATGAACGGCTTTGATGATCAGCTGGTCTGATCTTGAACACACARCCGCCGGTGTTTACTCATTCTCGCCGGTGTTACGTCGAGCCGCGTTTCCCCATCAGATACGGCTCCCCCGGCGTCTCCGGCTCCCCCGTCAACGTGGAAAAAATAAATAATAAGCTTCTCCTCCTCCGAGCCTTCACTCAACAACACTGCTTCAACACTGAGTGAAAACAACTATTTTTCCAGCCATCAGTTGCTTCACTATGACACGCAGTGCTGCGGGTGGGCAGACGGATAAATTATATTTTAGAACCAGCAGCGCAGAGTCTTCAGCCCGTTTAATGCTCGGACCGAAACCGGAGAGACACTCCGATTAGTTTTTTTTCTCCACTCTGTGTGACTGGTTCAGATCTGTACGGCTGCATGGTTTTTATCTTTAGTTTCATAGTGAAATCTGATTCACTATCATAGGCGCGCATAATAAGAAGTCAGATTGTTTGACAAGTTTGACGTTACATAGCAACAACAGTTTACCTTAGCAACTGAAATTATGATTTCGGGCTCTGCTCTGTAGCTCCATTTAGCAGGAGGAAAATCATATCTTTAAATACATTTTCATTACAGTTGTGAAGAATTTAAATCACAATTTTAAATAAAATATTATATGTATGCAAAATACACATTTTTGGGGCTTTYTCCTTCATTTCACCTTTAAGCTACGGGACATGTAGCAAATCAAAAATTGCAACAGAAACAGAGGAATTGTGGCTGAGTGATAAAGGCGCTTAAATTGTTTTATAAGGTAAGGAGAGTGAAAAGACGCAGGTCCAATACCTTCTCTGCTGAAGTCGCTCCTCTTCAGGAACTCTGAAAGAGTAGCGTCGTTTGTTGTTCATGCTGCGCAGCATCTGCTTCCTGCTGTTGTCTGATGTCTCCGGGACAACCAGCTCATCACCTTCTGAAACATTACAACCAAAAACTTTAATGTCACTTTGGTTCCAGGTTGATTTTGGACAGCTTTTGCTTTTCATTTCATTTATTTAAATTAGGACAATGTATACTAATCAACACGTCAGTAGTAAGCGCATCAATGTAAATATGTCGGAGTTAGTACAACAGTTAGTTTTCATCTGTTGTCCTAAGGCAGGTAAGAACAAGAACCATCCCACAAAACAAAAAGCACAAATATTAAGTACTGAATCTTAATAATAATAATAAATGTATGTATATGTGTATATACTGCATGACTGCCTGATTACATCTTAATGGTAAAAACTTCTCACAAATATTATCAATAATAATGGACAATGGTTTACATGCTAAATTGTTATTAATTATAAGTAATTATAAATAACTCAGGTCTCAGAGTTGTCAGTTTTAAAACATTCTGGAGCTCTCTGTGTGACTCTAGCATGAATCGAAGGGTGGATAGTTGTTTGTCTCTGTCTCTGTGATGGACTGGAGACCTGTCCAGGTGTCCCCTGCTTTCACYCAAAGGCTGCTGAGACAGGCTCCAGCTGCCATCCTCCTCAAAGCAAGGACAGAATGGATGTAGGATTTTTTAATGGAAATATTTATTTAACAAAGACAGAAATATGTGGTCCAAGAATAAAGGCACTGCGTGGAATGATCAGCTGAGTTTTATTGCAACAACAGGAACACAGAGAACAACATCAGACTGTCCCCCTGCCCTCTGCTCCTGTTTCTGCTTCTCCTTCGCTGAGGCAGTTGAGGCCTCATATATACTGTTTAACGAACACTATTATGTCATCTTAATAAAGCAAGATTTCATCCTAAGGAAATGCTGGGTCACGGGAAAACACAAAGACAAACAAGTGATATCTAAGAATGATTATTGTTAGTAAATCTTGTTCCGACTTCAATCATTCTATCTGCTGCATGTCATGAAAACTTAGGTCATTAAAGTATGTCATGACTTACTGGCTTAAATCTTAAAGTATTAGTTCCATCACAGTTATTTTCATTTTTTGTTTTGACATACAAATTTCAAAACAAAATTTTTAGAGCTGTAATCRTAATACCGTCATAACGCGAAACCGTCATATTTTTGCCCAAGGTTATCATACCGTCCCATGCCTAATGGTGACAAATAAATGTATGGATAACTTTTTAAAAGAACAAACATTCAATAACAAGTCTTTTCAGGCAGGTAAGAAAATAATATTTTTGCAATTAAACATTTAACATTTATTAATGGTACCACCATGGTCTGTCCTGGGCAGAATGACAAAATGCAAAATTATTTCTTTAGTAAAACCTCTGTAACTTTGCTCCAGTTCATTTTAGCAGCATGAACCTTTGCACAGTTTATGTCCACAATTGGATTTATGGTTTCCAATAGTTTTAGCCTCGTTCATTATGGTTTTAAATGGGTTATACACTGTCTAATGAAAAAATGATTCAGATGAGACTGAAAAATAATAATAAAAAATTATGTTCCATCCTCAATATCTCTAAAATCACAGCAGCTGTTTTAATACTTACACTTCTGATGAAATCTCCCAAGTGTTAGCTTTATTTTGATTCCAAGATTATTTAAGTAGAGTTTGTAAATGCTGAGATACACTCAATTACATTTTGGCATGGTATTTTGAGCAGAAACTTCCAAGAAAACCCCTTGGGGCGTAAGAGGTTAAACAAAATCATGTTTAAGTCTGAGTTACTTAAACCCAGCAGTTGAAAGTGGGCCAGTCTGTCAGGAACTCCCAGGCCACTTTTTCTCCCCAGTCTGCCACTGTCCATGACTGTGTGCCTATGGACACCACCATTTGACAATGATCAAACTTAATATAAAGACTTGAGCCAGACAAGGTAGAAGACTCACCAGCCATCTTGTTTCTAAAGTAAATAAGGCGCACAGTTTCCAGGCCCAACAGGTTTAGAGAGCCGTCAACATTCAGAGGTCGCACCTGCCAAAGAACAGACATCAATTCAAAGATATTTTTATAGATAAGAAGCTTATTTTATCTATGAAAAGGGTTACTACATGGATAAAACAACTTTTTTTTCCCACCAGGGGGAGCAAAAGAATTTTGTGAAACTCCGGTTGAAGCACAAACCTTCTTCAGAGGGATGGTCTGAATCCACTCCATGGTGTTCACATCAAACACATCCACAGCATTCTCACTGTACACTGACAGGTAGGGGGCATTGTAGCCTGAACAAAAAAACATTTTTATTCCTGCACTTGTACGTTACAAAACAGCCTTCATCATTCCTGCACTCACAGGCAGTGTGGGGCACAGCCGGCCACATAAGCTCCTGCTGCCGCGACCTGCGACCCTGCGAGTCCACGTAGACCCCGATGGCACTGAAGCACAACAGCAGCTCTTTGCTGGAAATCTCCACGGCACACAGGGCACTCAGATTCTGATGTGGGATAAAAGCCAGGGTGTGGTCCTCATGGTGGAGGAGACTGATGGGGGACATGTCGCCATGGAGACTGCGGAGGTCATCACAAACAATAAATCATATGCTTGTGAAGAATTAAAAACAGCTGTAGTGCATTTAAAGGCAGAGAGAAACGTAGAGTACCTGTAGCGCATGAAGCCAGACTGGTACCCCACATACAGGCGCTCACTGAGCAGACCCATCCACTGAACAGGCCCCGGGGCAGGCAGCTCTCGCAGCACACGGTGACGGGATTTCACCTTATTCACCTGCAACAAACAAGGGTTGGTTTCAGGGCTGCCACGATTAATCGATTAATCGAC